TGAACAGGATTATACGAAAAAGTTGGGGCAACTGTCACACCCTTATATATATATATATATATATATATATATATATATATATATATATATATATATATATATATATATATATATATATATATATATATATATATATATATATATATATATATATATATATATATATTTCACATCTCTATAATAAAATTAATAGTAAAAGCTGTACTTAAAAGCTTTTAATACTTCAAATACAACATCATCAGTATGCAACAACATCATCAGTATGCAACAACATCATCAGTAGCAACATCAGGTCCTATATATTATGCATTATTCCTAACTGATTAAAAATTCAAAAAAAAGTCAATAAATAAAAAAAAATACTGATGATACTGATATACTGATATGAAAGCATAAAGTTTTAGAAATACTAACTAAATGTAGTCAAAAGCCATATTAAATTTGAAAACAAAACAAAATATATACTTTTCATTGGGTATTTCACTTGATTTTTGTTTAGAACTTAAAATAGTAAAATAAGCATAGTAAACATTTCAGCCTGTGTAAATACTTCAAAAGTATGCAAAAATTGATTTTTTTTCATTTTTGATTTTAATTTTCACTTAAATCTGCGAGTAGTCTATAATTCTTTATTTAGTTATTATAAATCTTCATCTAGTATAGTACCTAAAATAGTGACCTTTATTATTGTTTAAAAAAATATTTGTTTGTTCTCAAGATACTAGACTTTAAAGTTTGACAAGTATTTTAAGATTATTGACCAAATGGTGACAAATACATTTTCAAACTTGAAATGAGGACTAAGTCTATACTTTCCATTATATATAATAATGAGATTTCATTTCATTATTATATATTAGCCAGTTGAGACCTAAAAAAGGATAAAATGTATATGATAAGCAGTTGCCTTGTCTCAATATCACATTTCAAAAGTATGCAAAAATTGATTTTTTGTTACTTTCAATCTTCATTTTCATCCTTTTAGTAGTCTTTTAATTATAAATTTTTAGTAAAGCACCTCAAAATATGGATTTTAAAATATCCATTTTAATATTCATGGGAAAATGAAGGGTTAGGGTTAGGACTGTTCATGAATATTATAAGGAAAATGGGTGTTAACTAGGATTCAAAGAGGTCAAAATGGTTCTCAATGCACAAGAAGTAATTTACAAACTTTAGTAGAAAAATCTATTCTTGGTAAAATGTTTTTCTGTTTTCAAATTAACACTATATTCAGTAATGTTTCATTTCAATTATTTTTTGCTGTTTAAGTAAAACTGTGGGTGTATGTAAAATGTAAAACTGTGGGTGTATGTAAAATGTAAAACTGTGGGTGTATGTAAGAATTTCACCAGAAAATATATAATTGAAGATTTTCATGTTTTGTCATCAATAAATTTTAAATGTTTAAAGTAGAAACAAATTTATAAAAATTTGAAAGGAAAGTTTAGACTATAAGAATTTGTCAATGATACTTAAAATGGCAGTTAAAATAAAAATAAAAAAAGTAATTCGTCTTGGTGAAGTAAGTAATTGGTCCTGAAGAAGTAATTTGTAGTAGAGAAGTAAATAATTCACTTAGTTATTTATTTCTCTACAGTAACTAAGTAATTTGCCTTAGAGAAGTAAGTAATTTGTCTTAGAGAAGTAATACACCTTAGAGAAGTAATTCGCCTTAGAGAAGTAATTCACCTTAGAAAAGTAAGTAATTCGCCTTAGAAAAGTAAATAATTCGCCTTAGAAAAGTAAGTATTCACCTTAGAAAAGTAAGTGGTTTGCCATATAGAAGTAAGTGAAAACAGTGTATATGCAGTTCCTTTAACTTCATTTATTGTAAAAAAAAACAACAGAACGCTACTATGATATGAAATTTTATAACTTCTATTTACACTGCAACTATTAATTTAATATGTCATTGTACAAGGCATCACTTAGGAAGTAAAAAAAAATTCTTATGTCTGTTTCTATTTTTAAAACAAATAATCGTGTGTTTATTGGAAAACTCAAGTAGACAATGAACGCTCAGATAACGTAGTTTCTGCAGTCAAATGCTTTTGACAAAAACAACAAAAACATTAGTTTTAAATAACTATATCATACGGTTTAAAAATAGCACTCCTCCAAGTGATCACATTTCATCATTAAATGTAAAACTTATAACCTATCACTAATTCAAATGGATATCCATAATTGCTACCTCAAACGGATATCCATAACCAAATGTGATTTTGAACTATCAATTTTAAGCCTATATTTTATTTATGAACTTATTTATGATTTTACTAGAACTGTTAATAACTGTTTATTTTAATCAGTTATTTAATGTAATGTTATATAAATAAAAATGAGTTGTTTATAAACTAATTCCAACACCTATTTTATTTGAGACTTGGTCTGAAATATCACAACACGCATTTTTCAATGCTAACAGCAATTTTTGAGATACAACCAAAATTTCATCAAGATTGCCAAAAAGAACATTAACGTTAACTGCCTCCTCCTAAAAAAAAAAATTGATAGAGACACATTAGCAACAAAAAACTGCTGTATACATAACAGATTTTACACATAAAAACACAAAGATCATATATATATATAAACATAATGTCTAAACAGTATACGCCTACATAAAAAACTTATAACTTAGCACATGTAATTTAAAGTGCTGTAAGTTTTAACATCTCTTTATATTAATGCTGAACTAAATATTAGTAGTAGTAGTAGTAGTAGTAGTAGTAGTAGTAGTAGTAGTAGTAGTAGTAGTAGTAGTAGTAGTAGTAGTAGTAGTAGTAATAGTAGTAGAAGTAGTAGTAGACTAACACCCTGGTAGTAATAGTAGAAATGCCCTTTTTATGCATGTTTGAACATAAATTTTGTAACTGAGGTACTGGCAAGAGTCACAGTACTTTTTTTTATAAGAAAATGTGAATGAAAGTAAATACAAATATACAACTTATGTAAACTTCAAATTATGTAATGTTAAAACATCAAGTTTTACAGTTTTACTTTTAAAAAGCTTAAAATTTTTAAAACATCAAATTTTTTGCTAGGGATGTACTGAATGTAAGATTTTGCCGAAGCCAAAGCTTCGGTCGAAGTCACTCTGCCGAAGCTGAAACTTCAACCGGAGTCGAAGCTTTTGTACTTATATAGGTAAAATTTGTTGTTTTGCAGATTAAGCTATCTAGGGATAATATTAATTGCTTAAAAAATTTAACATTTTACTCCAACAATTTTATGTACTGCATATTGCAAAATATATGTATTGCAATTATAAGTATTTTAGCGCACAAGGTATTTTACTATAACAAATCATAAAGGTTTTTTTTTTAATTACACAATCTTATAGGATTTTAGGATGTAGCTATGCCTTGTTTGAACAAATTTAATGTTATAAGGAAAAAAGATTACTAGCTAATTAGTAATTACTAACTAGTAATTGAATTAGGGTGTGAATTATAAAACTAATTTAGCTTCTTGTCAACTTAATCAAGTCTAAACTTTAAAATTATATTATAAACAATGTTTTAGTTAACATTTCGTTTGCTCTTTAAAGTATAATAAAATTACTATTTATAAAATTACTAATTACAAATGAGGAAAGTTATTTTTATCATACTTATTAATTTATTGCGTTTAAATTAATTATCTATTGTTAGAAATCAGGCAAATTATAATTTAAAAACATAATCTGTTCTCCAGGGTTTGCAATCCCGGAGGACTTTCTCAATCCTGGGATTCCGGGATTGAGAAACATCAATCCTGGGATTGAAAAACAGATATAGCATCTATATAGTATTAAGTAGAATAAAAAATGTACACTCTTAAACAAAAATATATTTTATAAATGATGGTGTTTGCATTACATCGTTACTTGAACACAAGAAAAAAATGTTAATTAATGTTAGAAATTTCATTAAAAATAAGGAAATATATCATGTTTCATGTGTTTTGAAATGTGACTTCAGGAAGCACAACACGTCCAATGTTTCATCGCCCAACCTGTTACAAATTTTTTTATTAAACAGTCCAGCGGAAGAACTTTTATTATTAAACATTCCAGGCAACAGACTGTTTCTTTTGGGTTAAAATATGTTTCCCGTTGTGCTGAACAGAGGTTCACTCTTAACGGAGGTGCGCATAATATTTTTATTGAGAGCCTTGCCAAATCCCACTTATCAGTGTTTTTATAGGAGCTGGTGTAATTGTAAATACCCCACCACTTATTTGTTATTCATCCAGACATTCATTTTTTGGTAATGTTGATAGACTAAAGTAGAAGTTGACTTCCTCACTGTTGAATCAAAGCTATGAATCAATTTAAAATTTAAACTTATATTTTAAATTTTTAATCAAGTAAAAAGAAAAGAATACCCTTATTCAACTTATAAATAATAAAGAATAAACATTTATAATTGATAAATAATTATGTTGCGCATGGAAAATATTGAAAATATTAAATGCAACCAGACCTGTAACGTAAGGAAGACACAGTCTATATATAGCTTGTGTCTGCTTGCAGTATTCTTTCTATAATATAAATATAATATAATTTTGTCTACAGGACATTCTGGTGTGCATATAAACTTGTAAATAAATTTCTAGTAACAGGGCTGAATGCAATAAAATAATTAATTTAAAAGTTAACATCAATTTTTAATTAAATTTGTAATAAATTTAAAAAATATCAAGTTTATTTAGATATTTTTTATTAATATCTTTTTTTTTTTTTTTTGAGTTTTTCCTCTAGGATTTTTACTATTATACTTTTTTCCCCCTCTATTAGTGTTTTCACATTTCTGTGAAGCATTCTCATTTATACACATTTGGTCTAAAAAGCTGTATACGCTCATGCATATATTTTTTATTTGACCATCATGATCAGAGTCTTTAACAAAATCAACTTCTTTTGCTTGTTGTAAATGATCATTTACAACAAGCAAGCAAATTTTATATTTTAAATTATATATAAGGGTACTACCGCTATCATTTAGAGTATTGATTTTCTAAATAAAAGCGATAGTAGCCTTAATATAAAATTTCTTTAGGAATACTATGGTCTGTTTCTTTAAAAAATTTCATTTGAAACGGGGTTTGAGCACCATTTTTTCAGACAAACATTATCTTTGTATTAATGAAAATGACTTTTAAAATCTTTTAAGTTCATCAACAGTTTTTATTCCAGTTGATTTGTCCCAAGCATAGTCAAGAAACGGTATGATCTCTGATGTGCCTGCACTCTTACCTTTCATAGCGCTTTCAAAGTGTTTTAGTATGCATACAATTATTTCAGCATGCTGCCATTGATTTTCTGTAGGTTATCTGCTTCTGTATTTATAAAACCACGAATTATTCATGTTTTTGAGTGGTGATAAGAAATAAATTTTCTAGCATACGTTTTATGCACAAAAAAACTAAATACAAATTATAGTAAAAATAGCTTTCAGTAAATACATAACAAAATAAAATATACATAGAACATAAATATAAAAAACACCCATTAATTTTGATAAGCAGGCAAACAAAAAAATTTACAATATAGTTTGCCGCAAGTCACAATTTATACTATGTATGCTGCGGCATATGTCAAGGAATCAAAGTAAAGGAGCAAATTACAAGTAATAGAATTGTAATGTAAAGTAATTAAACTGTAAACAAAATTATTTTATGTTTAATATAACAGTAACTTATTTCCTTTAATTACCTTTGGTAGAAGGTAATTAAAGGAAAAAAGCTTCAGTACATCCTTATTTTTTGCACATATATCATGATAGAGATACATATGTTAATAATAAAAGAGTCTATCCTACTACTCTAGAAGGTGCTGCTGTGGAGGCAAAAGTGTGAATAAGAAATATTTTCTAATAATTACAAGTCTTTTTTGCTTAAACTGTTTTGTTTTAAATTTTTGTATTTATGTTATTCTATTTAAAAAAATTGACAAGATTTAAAAAAATACAAAACATAGTCTTATCTAAGAGAAAATAAAACTTTAAAATTTTGTTTTAATAATTAGAAGTCTTTTTTGCTATATATATATATATATATATATATATATATATATATATATATATATATATATATATATATATATATATATATATATATATATATATATATATATATATATATATATATATATATATATATATATATATATATATATATATATATATATATATATATATATATATTAGGTTGACCGGAAAGTAATGTCGTTTTTGCGCATGTTGACATTCAATAATCGTTGGCCAGTTTATTGTGTATCTCGAACACGTGCACAGGTTATTTTTATATTAGTGTGACTTGTTTACTTCTAAATTATTTAAAATTAAATAGTTTTCTTTGCAAATTGGAGTGAAATGGCATACGAAATACAGGAAGTACATATTCGTCATTGTATGCTTTTTGAATTTCGCAAGGGTAATAACGCTACAGTTGCGACTAAGAACATTAGTGATGTTTACCCAGGTTCATTAGATGTTCGCAAATGCCAAAGATGGTTTTCCAAGTTTAGATCTGGGAATTTTGATCTTTCTGACGCCCATCGACCAGGAAGACCAATGTCATTAGACAACGACGTTCTAAGGGCAGAAGTTGAAGCAAATCCATGCCAAACCATCGAAGAATTGTCAAACACCCTTAACCAACCTTGGTCGACCATCCAAGAACATTTACACCAGATAGGAAAAATCAGCAGAGCAGGTGTTTGGGTCCCCCATAACTTGTCAGTGCAAAACAAAGCCAACAGATCAACCACGTGCAATGCATTGATTCAACGGCACCATGCAGAACCGTTTCTTGATCGTTTGGTCACTGGAGATGAAAAATGGGTCCTATACGATAATCCAAAACGCAAAAGGCAGTGGCTCTCCCCAAATGAACCAGCACGCAGTACTGCAAAGCCGGGATTACACCCCAAGAAGGCGCTTCTGTGTGTTTAGTGGAGCATCGGCGGAATCGTCCACTTGAAGTGCTTATTCCTGGACAAACTGTTAATGCGGACCTTTATTGTCAACAATTGGATCGAGTGAACCAAGCTCTAGTTGAGAATTACCCGGCTATCGTCAACAGAAAAGGTGTCATTCTTCAACATGACAATGCAAGGCCGCACTGTGCACGACGGACGCTAGAAAAAATTAATGAATTGGGATGGGAGGTGCTGGCCCACCCTCCATATTCACCTGATATCGCCCCTTCAGATTTTCATTTGTTCCGATCCTTACAGCACTTTCTAAGTGACAAAAAATTTCAAACTTTGTACTGCTTAAAAAATGGCATCTCCAGATATTTTAATGACAAACCAATACATTTTTTTCGATCTGGTATAGAAAGTTTGCCCGCTCGATGGCAAAAGGTTGTGGAAAATGAGGGTGATTATATCATTGATTAAAAATAAATATTATAAAAAAATTATTTGTTTTAATTTGACGTAAAAATACGACATTACTTTCCGGTCAACCTAATATATATATATATATATATATATATATATATATA